ATGGAACCGTGGAACGGGGAAGGGGGGGGGGGGGGTCCTCATGTAGGCGGATTCCCCGGGCTGGGTGAGGGCGGGCAGGCAAAGGAAGGGGGCGGGGGCGGCAGCATGCGTGTGCGGGGGGGGGGGGGGGGCAACAAAGGGCGGAAAATACCCCACAGGAGGATGGGGGGGTGTGGCGTGGCCGGGCGCCCCCTCGCCCCTTTACTGGATGCCCGCAGACAGGGCCGCCTCGGCTGCCTCAGCTGGCACGGCGTCTCCTCCCTCGGACAGAGCCTCCGATGGCCGGCCGACGGAGGGGACCTGCACCGGAAGTGGAACTGGCGCCGGGTTCAGGTCCGGGATATGACCGAGAGCCTGCCACGCGGAGGGGTTCCGGCCAACCAGGGCGCGGAAGGTCGGGTCCGTGGGAGTGTAGGGCTTCTGGCAGCCAGTGGTCAGCTGGGCCATGAAATAGGTGAACCGGCAGGCGTAGAGGCTCGGATCGACGGCCGAGATGGTCAGGGGGTTGTGACGAATCGAGCGGAAGGTATGCTCAAAGCGCTTCTTCCCATCGAAGGGCGTAAGAATGTCGATGATGCCCATATGGTAGAGAAGATTGCAGGGCTCGTTGTCGGAAGAGGTGGACTGGAAGCCGCTGCCGTCGCCGCAGAAAATGCTCTTATGCCGGCTGATGGCACGCGGCCAGTTTGCCGTGTCAAGGGGGGGGGGGGGAAAGCGGGAGGATAGGCAAGGTGAGAAAAAGGGGGGGGGGGAACAGCAGGCGTGGAGGGGGACCGAGAATGGTGGACGCACAACTTGGCCGCAGACTCTAGCCCGCTGAGCTCCGACTCATGCAATGACCGGGTGTCCGTCTGGCGAATGGCGCGCTTGATCTGCTTGCGTGTCTGCTTGGACACCGGCGGGCCGGTGCTGGTGGGGGTCCCGTGCACCGGAGCGCAGATCGGGGTCTTTGGCTCGACCACTTGCAACGTGTTCAAGAGCTGCTGGTTGGTGGTGTCCAGAGCCAGGTCATGGATGCCCAGCAGCAGGCTGTAGTCCATGATATTCTGTGACGCCAGGAAGGCTGAGTCGCGCTCCACCTGCAGCATGAAGGCCGCGGCCTTCTCCGGGCCGAGATAGATCCGATGGCCGCCGCGCAGGAAGTTCAGGTCCTTGAGAACACGCTGCTTGCCGTCGGCTGTGGGGGTCTGCCGACCCACGAGGGAGCCCTGAGGAGGGAGGGGGGGGGGGGGACGCGGCATCCGGGGAGAAGTTGCATGGGGGCATCTGGTGTGAGTAGGATCCCCGCTTGGCCCGACGGTGGCGGGCGGGCCGAGCACCGCGTCACAGGAACAGGGGAAGACAAAGAGAGGGGGAGGAGCGCCTTTGGGCGTACCTTCAAGTCGAAGGTCATGTGGATGTCCCGGTCCGAGGGGAAAATGTTGGTCATGACCACGAAGTAGATCTTCCGACCGTGGGCCAACTTCACGCGATAGAGGCCACAGAAGCGGCTCAGCAGCGTGTCGGGATTTTCCCGGACGAAGCTGTGATACGCGTGGAGGATCTTCCGGAAGAAGAGGTGCTCGGTCTTGCTGATGGTTTTGATGATGTACCGGTAATCGGCCGAGAAGTAGAAAAAGGACCCACTCTTGCCGGGTGATCCCAGCTCACTGAGGATGTAGCGCCCGGTGAGGGACATCTGTGGAAAGGAGGAGCGGTCAGCTTGGGCCAGGGGGGCAGAGGGAGGCAAACCGGGGTGACATAGTGGCGAGAAGGGGCAGCGCACGATGTAATCGGCCGGGTCGATGTGGAAGAAGTCACGCAGGGAGCGGAAGACCCAGGGCATGTAGTCCTTGAACTTGAAGTCGTACTTGCTGTACGGGAGGAGCTCGTTGCCGGTGATGTCGAAAACCATCTTCTGCACCTCGGTAAAGTCGGCCGACGTCAGGGGCCGACTGTCCTTGGCGTGGCAGCGGGAGAGCTGGGCAGGGAGGGAGGTAAGTCCGCTGGAGGCTGGACAGCATCATGGCGAAAGGAGGAGGGGGGAGGGGAGAGAGAGAGGGGGGGGGGAGACGCACAGACACACGCATGCCACTGAGCATGTCATACATGAGCACGAAGTTGCGGTGGTGCTCGTCGATCTTGGTACCGCGCACGGGCATGTCCGGCAGCGGCTGGGCACGGTCATCATCGCGGGCAGGAGCATCGGCCATCGAGGGGCCGGGCGCGCCGGTGGTCGCGCTGGTGGGCCCGCCGGCCTGGGACAAGGGCCCCGCCGTGGCCGAGTTAATTGCGCCCATCTCGATGGCCTCGTGGGAGGAAGCCGCCCCGAGGGGCGCCGCATTGGAGATCGTCGCCGTGATGGTCGGGGCAGGCCCGGCAGGCGTGGACGAGGGGGGGGCCGTGGTCACCGAGATGGATGGAGCACTGCGGCGCTCGGCCAACGTCAGTGAGGATGCCGAGCTCGAGCCCATCCCAATGACCGATGTGGATGTGAGGGAACCGGCGGAGGCGCCGCCCAGCACGGCCGACGTCTCGGTTGCATCGTCCATTGGCTGGTCCGCCAAGTCGGGCGCCGGGTCATTCAGCTCGCCAGGCTCGAGGGGAGGCTCACTTGACTGGCGAACCTCGATAACCGGCCCAGGAGCCTCAATCGACTCGTGGGAGTCGTCCGACCGGTCCAACTCGGCCATCGGCTCCTCCGGGTCCGGCAATGCGGCGGGCTCGCCGATCGGCCGGGGAATTGGCTCGTCGGTCGGGTGAGAAGCCGGCTCGACGGTCGGCTCGGAGGCCGAGGCGACAGCGAGCTCGTCGATTTGCCGATCGGCCTGCTCAGTGAGCTGCTCATCATCGGTCTCCCCCTTTGGAGAGGTGTCCTGCTCGGGAAGCTGCTCAAGATCCTTGGAAGGGTCCTCGGCCGGATCGCCAGCAGGCTGCACCTCGGTGAAGGTGGCGACAACGATGACCGGCGATGCGGGGATATCCGCCTGCTCGGTGGGGAGCCCATGGTCCTCCTCGTCAGCGGAGCCGCCGGCAGGGTCACACTCGCCGGTGGAATCCAGGGGGAAGGGCTCCGGCGAGGGAGACGAGGCGGGCGGGGTGGGTGCTTGTCCAGGCTCGACCACACTCAGTGGGGCAGCGATCGGAGCAGGGGACTCGACGTCCAGGGCTGGCGGGGCGAGTTGCTCGGAAGAGGAGGAGGCGTCGTGCGCCGGCTCGAGGGCTTGGGAGGCGGCAGGGCAGCGCATGGGGGAAGGACAAGAGAGAGAGAGAGAGAAGGTGAGGGGGAATGTGGGAAGAGAGACGTTAGATGGAAGCAAGGCACAGGGGGAGAGAGAGAGAGAAGCAAGGAGGAAGGAGAAGGACCGGTGAAAAGATGGCGGGGAATCCGGCGACGGGGGACGCACAAACAGAATGGATGGAAGACTTGGAGGAAGAGACCGCCGGCGAACAGGGCGGCGAGGAGGTCACCGATACGACGGTCACCGAGATGGTGGGGGAGGGAGCTCGGTCGCCAGCGGCCGAGCGCTTCCGGTCGGAGCCGCTGTCCGGTGACAGGTCGCCAGAGTCACTCTCCTCTACCGGGGCCTTGCCAGCGAAGGTCGCCACTGTGGCAACATCGTCGGAAGCGGCGGAGAAGACAGTTGTGGTGACCTCATTGTGCTGCTGAGAGGGGAGAGGGTCCATGGCAGGGGACGAGCTACATGTGCAACGGGGCGAAAGGGGCCAGGAGAGGGAGGGGCGGAGGGCGTCAGCAAGGCGGGTGGCCACGATGAAAGGGCAGGGCAGGGCAGAGAGAGAGAGAGGGGGGGGGAGAGGTGGCGCACCTGTGAAGCACAGGGCCGGCGGCGTGCTAGATGCACGAGAGTAGCGGGAGGCAGGGGGAGGGGGCTTGAAGCGCGCCCGGCGAAGGCCAAACGAGGAGAGAGGAAAGAAGGAGCGATACTCACGCAAGGCGGCCAGCCGACTGTGTGAAGGGGATCTGCGGGAGGAGTTGCACTGGGGCTCCCTGCGGGCGGTGTGCTGCGGCAGCGGCGGCGGCGGCGGCGGCGGCGGCGGCGGCGGCGGCGGCGGCGGCAGAGCAGGAGGCGCAGGGACGGGGTGGGGGTGGCGGGGGAGGGGGAGCGAAAGGCGGAGGAAGCGGGGAAGGTGCAGGGTAGGGGAGCTTGGGGCGGGGTGCCGGGCCCGCGGACTGGGGCGCCGTCTCGAGGCCAGCTTTCATGATCCGAATTGGCGCATGGGCGCGG